CACACCTTATTGTGTCCAAATGGCACAGGATTTGTAAGAGGGTATGACCATGAGCTAATGAAATTATGCTTTTTGAAACACAATGCATGGACAACACATGCTGTGTTCTTATAGTGTTCTCTTTTCTGTCTCCTGCCAGGCCAGACTCCTCAGGGTTCGAACATGTGTTTGTTGGAGAAACCAGAGGTGGTCAAACTGTCATCGGGTTTCACAACTGGATCCAGCTCTATCTACAGGAGAAGCTGGGACACATTGACTACAAAGGTTACAGCATCAATGCAAATTCACCTCAGGTGTGCTGTTATTGTGTTTCTGGTTCCAAGATGTATCAAAATGGAGCAAGAAGGTGGTCCACACTACTGTATTTGTATTATATTATACAACATGTATCAAAACATAGGATAAACATTGAACTGTTGTCCCATTGTTGAATCATTTTCATATTCTATTTTCCATAATATTAGCCTATGTACTTTCCAAGTATCACACAGCATATTGCATGCCAAAGTATTTGCATGAACGTTGGCTCTAAGGGACAGCGAATGGCTGAGAATGTCTGTATGGAAGCCCATTTTCACCAAGAAAAGGAAATAAATGAAATGTTACACAAGAAAAACAAACTAATTGAAAGTAAAAATGTTAACTTACAAAGTCAAAATAGTTAGTTTATCTTTTCTTGGTGAAAACAGGCTTCCATGTGTCTGACACCGACAGGATGTTGTCTGTTTTCTCTAAGTCCAATTTGTTGTCTTGTTCTCACCTGCTGCTCACACCACTTTCAACATTTCTTTCTCTTTAAGATTGATAATATAATGCTAACACCCTAACCAACACAGGCCTGTTTCAGTGCCACCTTCTTACTTCTGTCTTCCCAGTCTCCACTCCTAGGACTGATGACAATAAGCCCACCCCTGCTCTTTATTAAATAGTCCTACCTGTTTCATCATCCTCTCCTCTCCATCACTTGCCATTTTCTTTTTTCTCTCACTGCAGCCGGACCAAAACAAACACATCATGGCGCTACAGTTCAGCTGGAAGAATGGCATAAAGCCCAAAGGCAGCATCTTCATTGGCGTCAGTCCCGAGTTCGAGTTTGCTCTCTACACTCTCTGTTTCCTTTCCTCGCCCAATGAGCACGTCAAAGTCCAGTTCAGTTTTTACCATGTGGAGATTGTTTGCCACCACTACAACCAAAAGCACATAGGCACCACTTACCCTGTGCTCCTTAAGTACCGGAACCCTGAGTAGCCTGACACTTGAGCTTGCATCCAAAGTGTCACAGATATTGTTGCTGTCTTTTTATTCTAGATGAAGATACAATAAAACCTGATGAAACCTCCACTTGCAGTTGGCTTTGATTTTATTTCCCATTCCTAGAGCGCGTAAAAGAATACATTAATTATGAACAAGTTTCTCTTACCACAGAAGTCGGAAGACTTCTCTTATAAGCTTTTATTTTATCCCAAGAAGACTTTACATCCATCTGTTATCTATACTGTTTAACCTTAAGAGGGTCATGGAGGAGCAGGGGCATATAGCCCAGCTGACAGTGGGCAAGAAGTGGGGCCTAGGTGGTCAGTCTATCACAGGGCTGACACTTACAGACTGAAGGCTAATTATCGGTTCTTTTAACCAGGAACCCAGAGAGACGAAGCGGACCACTTGGATATATATATAAAAAACCGTGCTGGTTTATTCAAAGAATCACAGGTAAAATTAACATTACACGTCCAGGTAACTTCCACCTCCAATACTGCGCGCAGGCAGATGAAGAATGAAAGACCCTGAACCAATAATGCCTATACATTTTATCACTTCGGTTGGACTAGCCCCATACTACACAGGGACGTCAAACCGTGGCGTCACCTGATATGCCAGCTTTACAGCTGACCATAACAATAGTCAAAACATGGAGAGAATCAATGTGTATGAGTATTGATTAAGTGGTGTGTATCTAAGAACGTTCTGACATGACATCTAGTGACATGTCATGACATTAAACATAAGAAAATATTATGATTACAATTACAATTATAATAACAATATTCTTCCTGCCTGCTGACAATCAAACTTTTCTATCTGGTTATCCTTGACCATAATGCACCCTGCAAGAAACTTATAAGAATGACTAAGCATTTAACAGCCTGAGCTACACATCCTGTCTCCACTAAACATTTCTAATACAACAAATATCTAACCAATATCTATCTGACTAAAAATACCTAACAAGACAGATAACCACACACACATAATTGTCTAAAGATAGGGTTCACAAGTCAAGTAACCAAAGAGCAGAAACGATGTTTCCTATATATAAAAGAGACAAATACTTTACATTATGTGTGGGTGACAACTAACCTTTAGTTACTTTAATTTTTCCGACTAAGTACTGTATTGCTGAAGCTGCTCGTAACATTTTTACTGATATCCGTGGTTGTTTCACTCTGTTTCAAAGGGGAACGATAGAGGGTTTATTGTGGCTAATGATGTCATTGCTCAGCGTCAAGTTAAGAGGACTAAAGCGGAAACTACTCCTTTTGATTAAAAAAATAAAAGCATGTGCATTTTTTATGATAATGAACCTTCATGGAAAAAGATTGAATAAACAGATTGTAATATTGAAAGATACCAATTTGTTTAATTGCAATATCTCAATATATCTGCAGTGGTACTGTGTAATAATGCTAAATCGTTCTGGTATGAAATATTTCGTTTTAGTATGAAATTTATTTCAAAACGCAATCAGGAAGCCTCGTTTTTATGTTGAGCAATACTGTTGTTTGACAGTGGAGGAGAGAAGGATTTCGTTGCGAGGTTTTATCTATAGCTTTCCACCGTTGTATAGTTTTAGTTTTCGTTGGGTGTCTTGGCTGTTGGTGTTTACAAGCCGTTCGCATCGGAATGGCAGACTCGACCGCCACATATCAGCAGGTAACACTGCATGTTAATCAGTACTTAGCTAACTCGTTAAAAGTTTAGCACTACGCACGTTACTGTTTGCAATGGCGTTGTATGTTAGTGTCACTACAGTAAACCTGAGTGTTAATTGTTTCCACACGACTGCTTCCTGTTCAAGGAAATTAAGTTTTTGCTGTCCGGTCAATTCTGTTGCAACCTTGTTGTTTTTATCGACTGAAGCGGGCTTACTTACTACACAGCCCCCTCATTAGCTAACTCTAGTTCTTTAAGTAACCCCAAAGTAACGTTATGTTAATGTGGATTTTATGGTTTGTTGTTTTGCGATTGTGGGTATTTAGTAAGTGCTGAGTTGTGTCAGGTAGCCTTGCATGTTTGTTTGCTAGCTCGTTAGCATATTTGAATAGGTTACTATCATAAAGCTGGCTATGTACCTAGTTGTATAGTTGATTAAAAGACGTACTAGGTTGCACCAGCAATTCATTGGAGTTAGGTAATCCTACTATCATGGCTATGTACCTAGTTGCATAGTTGATTAAAAGACGTACTAGGTTACACCAGCAATTCATTGGAGTTAGGTAATTGGAATTAATTTTGTTGGAAGTGTACTGTTTTTCAGTTAACATTGTCAACATTTTTCCTGTAATGTAATCCTATGGGTTTACGTCACGATATCCTTTCCTTTCTAAGAACCTGTAGGAGACCAAAGCGAAAACAAAGGTGCTGCAAACCTGTAATTTACACCTTTCTAAAACTAGTGCTGCAGACGTGATGTACTTGGTATTCAGTAAAGCCTCACAGAAACCGGTAATAATGTTAGCTGATCAGTTGTGCTTTATTTTGAAACGCTTGTTGTAAGGAGTCTGGTTTGTTCTGTGTATGAGGTGATAGACCAAACTGTGCCAAATATTCAGATATGCTTCAGAAGACATATTTGATATGGGCCCAGTTTCTATTCCTCTTCTCTGATCAATCAATGCTTTATTTGTAAGCTCCTTTGAGTTAAACCAGTGTGTTGCGGTATCATTCAACTCTAGACAGATTCAGAGTTGGTGCTGCCACAGGTGCTAGTGGCCTTAAATAATCTCGAAAATGATTTATTTACCTCCCACAGCTGTCCAATGAAGAGGACCCAGAAGAGAGTCCACAGGCAGCAGCCAGTGCTCCACCTCCTTATAGCAGCATCACAGCAGACAATGCTGGTAAGACCAGTTCTCATACAGGTGTTGAGGTCATATGCAGTGGTGATATGATTTCATTTTTTATATTGTATAATGGTTTTTTGTTTCAGTTCAGAATCATTACATCTGTACTAGGAACACACCTGTACAGCCCAATCACTAACCAGGACCTGAAACATATTTAAATTAACACCTGTGTGATAGTGTGAGACCATCCTAAAAACCTTTAGGCAAAGCAGTTGGGTTGGGTTGCATACAGCTGTAATTAATAAAGTGGCCACTGACTGTCAATATGTGTTTTGCTAGTCAGCTGTCTGTGTTATTAAATTTTTTTTTTTGTGTTTATAATGTTGCTGTCTCTTCTTCAGCCTTCTTTGACTATAAGGAAGATGGGGTTTTCCCCATGCCTCCATCATACAACGTAGCGACTACACTACCTTCCTATGACGAAGCAGAAAGAACCAAAGCTGAGACTACTGCTCCCCTGGTAACTGGAAGAGTGAGTGTCTCACTTTTTTCTATTTACCTTCTGTGACATTAGCCACACATAGACACATATGTGGTAGCTTGCGCTCATACACTTCCTGTGTTGCCTCCAAGGCAGGAAGTGCTCAGTGCTCCACCACAGAAATTGTTTCTTTGTTTTTTTCTTTAGAACTCTTCATTATCTGACTGTCTTTCCTACATGAACTGTTGCTACCCTGTGTTGTGCGTTTGGACACTGCAGGTTCATAAAAATGAAGGGAATCATTCAGATTAAAGGTCATCCAGAAATATTTTGTCTTCTTGCACATACAGATAATGATGACAATCTATTGTATGTCTCACAAGTACCCACAACTACCAGCCTTTTTTGTTGTAAATGCTTCAGTCTCCCAGGCCCCAGAACGACACTTTAAACCCACAATATATCTGGGTTTCTTTCACCCCAGATCTGACTAAACATTGATGCAGAACATGTTTCTTGATTTCTGTTACATTAATTACGCGTTATACACTTATAAAGTATAAATGAGACTCTAGTGCCTTGGTGAACTGCACATGCGAGAGGCTGTTTAATTCTTTAAGTGGTGTTTCAGTTGACACTGTCAGACCTGTAGTACTGTATTATTGAAACATATGCAATAAATAATTTGATTTGATTTATTCTTTCAAACATGTAGAACAAATGATATCAACACACACACATAATTCACACAAATCCAACCAATACTAATCCAGAATCAGTTTGCTTATACCTAGTACATGTTTGAATGGAGTAGGAAGAAGTCAGACTTATCCAGTCCTACCCCATAACATCATCTTATACAAAACATTTCATGCATCATTGGCTGCAAGCAGTATCTCTACATAGGTAATTCTCTTCTTCACCAGACAAGTAATACACAGAAAATTTAAGAGTGTTTCCTTCGTGCATTCTTGATTAAATCTCTTATTCTTGCATATATTTTGAATGACACATACATTTATATTTATATTTAAACTCCTCAATTCTAGTACTGTTTTTCATGTCCACATTTAAATTATTCCATAATTTGACCCCACTTATAGAAAT